CATTTTTAAGCAATCTCCACACCCAACATGGGACTTGAACCCACAACCCCCCAAGATCAAGAGTCGCATGCTTGGCCAACCAAGCCAGCCAGGCCCCCCTAAAAGCAACACTTCTGAGACCACCTATTCCTTAACAGCTTTGCAATGGCAAACGAGAGCTCCTCCAACCTTAAAAAATTGTAGTCATTCAACAATGTTTACACAGCGTGCATTCCAGCAGTATCTTGTGTATACAGCTTTACCAAGGCATTTCACTCAACATGCTCCCAATGCCAGGACATTTCTAGCAGATTCTCAGAGAAAAAGATTGCTCTCTCTAGTCATCTGTCCGCCTCTTTTTCCTTGCCTCTATACCCAGTGGCAAAGCTGACCAAATCGCAGTAGCATAAGAGAACAGACATAAGAAGCCAGTCTTGAGATGCTCTCACAAGTGTAAAACGGTTGTTTTAACCAGCAGTGAAAATTCCAGAAATTCTGCATCCAAGGTCCCTCTAATACCTTCCTTCATCTCAGAAGATACTTAGAGAGATTCCTCTGCTACATCTCAGGGCTCTCAGATCAAAAGTATAACTTTACAACCTTAAAAGCATTTGAATCATAAGCATAAGTGTCCATCATTCATTCTCTCTCGCTTTTACTCACACTCATAAATATTTGCTATCGGAGTGCCAGCAAAGCCATTTCAACGAGGCATGTTTTTAAAAACAGTGGGGAAAAAAATAGGACCATCTGCACAACTCCATATCCTCTTTCAAAGTAGTTCTTTGCTGCCTTTCTTTTTTCTCCAGGCCTTTGAACCTTAAAGTTAGTCATTTTGAAAGCATTTCAGATGTATAAAATTGTATCAACATATTTATAGGCAGTGGGGCAGCCGAGACGTATATGGATCAAAGCAACCTAGCCAATTTCCAGGCTCCTGGCTAGTACACAGTCCCAGTGAGCCTCGACCAAATAGAAATATTCCCTGGCTCTCCAGCCAAGAGGTCATGGATACATATTCACGTGTTTTGACACATCCTTAACCCAAACAGCAATTTTAAAACTGAGGCTGACCATATGCTCTGATCTTGAAAAAACTAAAAGTCACATGATTAAAATGAGTGGCAGTCAGTGTTGCAGTAACAGGAATAGAGCCAATATAGGACGCACAGAATGACTAAATTTCCAACTCAAGATGGTCCTAGAGGGCTTATTGGGGCACTGGGGGCTTTTGGAACAGACAAAAAGGGACTTTTGGAGAGCCATAGCCATTCAGCAATGATACATTAGTGGCCATACCGGAGTCCTGCTGAGGGAGAATCTCTTCTGCCAGCACTCAAAGAAAATCTGTTCTAAGGTATAGGAGGAAAATGGTTTTATTCTGTAAGCTTCAGGTGTACAATATTGTAATTTGACATGCGTATGCACTACAAAGCGATCACTCCCAAAAGTCTAATTACCATCCGACACCCTACAATTGACCCCCTTTACCCCTTTTGCTCAACCCCCATCTCCTTTCCCCTCTGGTAACCACTGATCTGTTCTCTGTGTCTATGGATTTGTTTTTGCTTTTGTTTTGTTTGCCTGTTTTCATACGGTTTGGTTTTTAGATTCTACATATGAGTGAAATCATATGCTATTTGTCTTTCTCCTTCTGACTTATTTCGCTGAGCATAATACCCTCAAGGTCCATCCACGTTGTCGTAAATGGCAAGATCTCATTTTTTATGGCTGAGTACTATTCCACTCTGTGTGTGTGTGTGTGTGTGTGTGTGTGTGTGTGTGTGTGTGCGCGCGCACATACATATCACCCACATCATCTTTATCCATTCATCTTTAATGGACAGTTAGGTTGTTTCCTATCTTGGCTATTGTAAACGATGCTGCAATAAATACAGAAGGGCCTGTCTTTTCAAATGACATATGGCAGTTCTAGTCTTAATTTTTTTTGTCCCTATTTCAAGAGGTCATACTAATGCGTCCTTTGTCTGATAATGTTTGTAAAAGCAAAGTGTTTCTAAAGCCACTAAAAAAAAATCGACCCAAAGAAAGACTTGTAGCAGGCCTTTCCATGCAAATGGATTTACATAACTCTATATATTGGTGAGGACAGGAGCAAGGAAGCTTTCTTGGGGTGTGGGGAGGGGGGGAGCTATTTTTTTTTTTTTAATAAGCACACAGCAGTGAGCAGAGCCAGCTGACCAGTCCTTTGGTCTTTTGCCCCCTTCTCAGCACCAGAAACATTCTTGAACACCCCTCTCCAGACGCTTCCAGCCAGGAACACAACTTTGTACCCTGGATTAATTTACCATAACACCACTACAGTAGACTTCTTGCTTTCTCTTCTTGTGACACAATAAAAGCTACCAGGGATTTAAAGCAATGCGGCTGAGTAGCTTTCTTTTTGTCTCACCCACTGAACAGTCAGGACGTTATCCGTGGGCAATGCGTTTCACGAAGGCACCCGTGTTTTACTTCTCAGTTTTACCTTCACTGTCTGAGAATTACCAGCAAAATCCCTGCCCGCAAGTCGCCACCTACCGGGGAAAAGCAACCTCTCCGTGAGCCGGTGCTTGGTACGACTAAGCAGTTTCTCAAAGCAGCAGTATTTCCCAACCTTTTGAAAATCCCAAGGCAAACTTATTTGAATACGAGTCCCATGAAGAGGATATCGCCCAATACCTTATGGCGAAAATGTGATCAAGGAAGGAAAGATTGGAGAAGCCACAATGCATGTGAACTCTTCGTGGCAGCCTGCTGTGTCGTGGCATCTTGACCACAGAACACTGCCAGGGAGAAAGGAGTGCAAAGTCAAAAGAGGATGGAATGGTTTTTAAAAAATAAGACAGGGGCGCCTGGGGGGCTCAGTCGGTTAAGCGTCCGACTTCGGCTCAGGTCATGATCTCACGGTCCGTGAGTTCGAGCCCCGCGTCGGGCTCTGGGCTGATGGCTCGGAGCCTGGAGCCTGCTTCCGATTCTGTGTCTCCCTCTCTCTCTGACCCTCCCCCGTTCATGCTCTGTCTCTCTCTGTCTCAAAAATAAATAAAAACATTAAAAAAAAATTAAAAAAAAAATAAGACAGCGGTATATTTACGACTTTCAGCATAAACAGTGAAAACAGATGTCGAGGTGGTCAACACGTTGTTCATTTTTCGTGCCTACAGCAAATTTCTGTAGAAATTCCATATAGAGAGAAACCCTACACAAGTGCTAGAAAGACTGAGTATATATTTGGTAAGCTAGTCCCCTTCTCTAGGGAGTTGCATTTTCCAATTAATCTTTTTAATTATTATTATTATTGAAAGAGCACTACACAGGGGCGTCTGGGTGGCTCAGTCGGTTGAGAGTCCGACTCTCGATTTCGGCTCCGGTCATGATCCCAGGGTGGTGGGATCGAGCCCCGCGTCAGTCTCTGTGCTGTGTGGAGCCTGGTAAAAATTCTCTCTCTCTCTCTCTCTCTGTCTCTCTCTCTCTCTCTCTCTCTCTCCCCCCTCCCTCTGCCCCTCTCCCTGGCTCATCCTCTCTCTCTCTCTCTCTAAAAGAAAAAAAAGAGAAAGAGCACTACCCTTCCCAAAGGAGCACCACTACCACTCTATCTTTGTGCACATTTTTTAACAAATTATTTCCTCAAAATGTGTTCCCATGTCAAGGGGCAGGAGTGAGCTTATAGGGCTCATGACAGATTGGCAAATTGTTCTCGTGAAGGATTACGACAATTTATCACGACCGTAGCCGTATTAACGTGCCCGAGTCCCTTGTAGGCTTGCTGACACTGGATCGTTACCATTTTTATTTCTGCTACCTTTATTGGTAGGTAACGGCAACTTGAAGTGGCTTGAATTCGCATCTCATTTTTCTTAAATTAAATAAAAAGTAAAGGTTGGCTTCAGCTTACGCTGACTTTCAACAGCCTATTCAACGTCTCCAAGCTGAAGGTTTCGTTCGCATCCCCAGCTAACAAGTGCAACAGATCTCTTCATTTCCATGGGCCCCCCGCCGGCCCCCGCACCTCAAACTTGACCCCCCACCCCACCCAGCGATTCCCATCGTCCTAAACACAGCCACCCACCTCCCAGGAGCTCAGGCTCAAAACCAGGACCTGTCCCTCCCTCCCCCTCACATTCAACCCTTCAGCAAGTCCTTCTGATCCCACCTTTACCACGTTCCAAGGCCACCTCCATCACCGCTGCTGCTCCCCGGGTCCAAGCCAGCGCCATCTGGAACCTGGATGACTGCCACAGCCTCCCAACCAGTCTCTCCTTGTCGTCCTTGCCCCATAGAGTCTATGCTAAGTGCCGGTCAAAACGATTTTTTTTTAAACCTCAAGTCAGATTGTGTCACTCTGTTTAAAACCCTCCAGTGACTTTATATCATGCTCTGAACAAAATTCAAACTGCTTACCCTCAAAACCCAGCCCCTGCCCACCCGGCTCAACACACTGTGTGCCCCTTCTCCCCTACTGCCCTTGTTCTCTTTCCATCCAGCCTTCTTACCGTTCCTCGCAGATCCAAGTTCACGCCACAGGGCCTTTGCACTTGCGGTTCCCTCTGGCTGAAGTGCTCTCTCCCCTAACATTTTCTCATGGCTGGCTTCTTCTCATTTCTCACATTTGGTTCAAATGCCACCTCCTCAGAGAAGCCTTCCCAGAACACTATCTTAAATAGCACGGCTCCCCCCGCCCCCTGTCATGTTGAAGCATAGCACCCCATCTGATTTTCAGCGTGACACTGAAATGCTCGATTATCATGTGCGTTTGTTGACATGGTTTTTATCTGCCCCGCCCCCCACCCCTGGTCTGGAAGTTCCACGAGGGCAGGCACCGGCCTCTGTCTGGGTCACCAGTTTATCTCCAGAGCCTAGAATGGTGCCTGGCACGTCGCGGGAACTTCAGAGTGCTAAACCTTAACCTAGGAAAACCTAAAGAGGAACAGTGAGATGCTGAAAAGCAGGCCCGTGTGCCCCTTCAGGCTCTCAGAGCTATCAGTGAGCGAATGTCGTCGAGATCCACCAAGTGTACCTACCAAGTGACGATTCCGTTTGAGACACTTTGGGGGCTACAGCAAGAAGTCGCCCTCGAAGATCGGAGTCTAGAGAGAAAAAGGAATGAAGACGATTAACTGGAAGCCGAGGAAGAAAACGGTGAGTGATGAAGCGGAGGATATTTCTGGGTCACCGAGAAGCAGAAAGGGTTCGAACAGCCTTTCGCTTGAAATGAGTGTTCGAATTCCTGGGGATACACATCCAGGGGGTTTTGAACGTCCCGGGAACTGCTCCCTTCAAGAGTGTTGGGACACGCGCAGGAACAGCCGGTTGTAGTTGTCACAGGGGCTCGCACAGGGAAGGGCACTGCTGCCACGTGGCAATCTGGGAGTCAGGGGGGCTAGACGTCCTGCGGCGCCTGGACAGACCGACACAAGGGAGAACGCTCCACCCCAAATGGCAAGGCAGAAATGGCTCCCACGCGTTCATCCAGAACACATGGAGTGCCTTCGGGGATTTCTCGATTAATGGGTTTTTTTTTTGTTGTTTTTTTTTTTTGAAGGATGAAGGAGAGCGGCAAGGCCAGCCCAAATGCCTCTTTGGGTCCCTAGCACAGCGGGATTCAAAACCCCAGCCCAGAAGAGAGGTGACCACCTCTGGATGGGGCTCAGAGTCTGACCATCAGACCGTCCCCAGTGACACCCACGACATCCCCGTGTGGCACGCAGCTCTGCTGCGTGTCCAGCAATTCTCTAACTACACAGCAGGACAAGAAGCTAATCCTGAATCAGAATCTTCCCGAGGGGGGGCTTGTCTCCCTCAAGCGGTGGTCTGGGTCGGCGGTCCGGTAGGTCCCAGGACTGGGGGGATGTGGGACACTCAGACCCCCGCTAAAGCAGTTAGCATCTGCCCTCCGCAGGCGAGATGCAGACCAAGCCTTCTGGTATTTCAAGAGAAACTGGAAATCCTGACTTTTATTGAAATCGTTCAGTTTTTATCTTTTTAAAAATGTTTAAATTTTACTTAAATCCAAGCTAGTTAACATATAGTGTCATAATGCTTTTGGGAGTGGAATTTAGTGATTCATCACTTACTGTAACACCCAGTGCCCACCCCAACAGGTGCCCTCCTTGATGCCCATCCCCCATTTAGCCCATCCCCCCCCCCACCTCCCCACCAGCAACCCTCAGCTTGTTCTCTGTGTTTAAGAGTCTCTTATGGTTTGCTTCCCTCTGTTTTTATCTTATTTTTCCTTCCTTTCCCCTATGTTCATCTGTTTTGTTTCTTAAATTCCACATCTGAGTGAAATCCCATGATATTTCTCTTTCTCTCACTGACTGATTTCCCTTAGCATCATACCCTCTAGTTCCACCTTTCTTTTTCTTTTTAAGTAATCTCTACCCACAACGTGGGGCTCGAACTCACAACCCCGAGATCAAGAGTCACATGCCCCACCGACTGAGCCAGCCAGGTGCCCCAAGATCTTTTGGTTTTTCACTGTTGACCCCTAATTCAATGGCTTTCTAAAATATAGTGCAGGCTGAAGCACACCCCTCTAAGGCTGACCCAGGGACAGCCCTTGACTCACGACAGGAGCTAAGATGGCCTCTGCAGGCCCCCTCCCCCCAGTGTTACTCCCCCTCAAATCAGTGCCATTCATTCTCTGATATGTATGCTAGCTGGGATTCCCTGGGCACCGGGGCCAGCAGGCTTATTCCACTGTCACTTTTCTCTGCGTTTAACAGGAGTCGGGGTAAAAACCCCTTCATGTAATTTACTCCATGCCTCCAGTGACTCGTGCTTTGAGAGACCCCCCCCCCCCGCCCAAAAAAGCAGGGTACAGAAAAATGTGACTCCTGGAATGCCATATTCTTTAAAAAGCAACCAAAAGGGGGCGCCTGGGTGGCTCAGTCGTTTAAGCGTCCGACTTGGGCTCAGGTCATGATCTCACGGTTTGTGGGTTCGAGCCCCACATCGGGCTCTCTGCTGTCAGCACAGAGCCCGCTTCGGATCCTCTGCCCCCCTGTCTGCCCCTACCCCCCCCCAAAAATAAATAAACATTAAAAAAAAATAACGTGGGTGGGTACAGGGGCTTCACTTTAAAGTGGGTGGGTTTAGGGGCGCCTGGGTAGCTCAGTCGGTTAAGCCTCGGACTTAGGCTCAGGTCATGATTTCACGGTTTGTCGGTTCGAGCCCCAGCCCCCCGCCTTCCCCCAACCCCCATCCTCCCCCACCCCACCCCCATCCCCCTTTGGGCTCTGTGCTGACAGCTCGGAGCCTGAAGCGTCCTTTAGATTCTGTCTCCCTGTCTCTCTCTGCCCCTCCCGCACTTGTTCGTGTTCTCTCTCTCTCTCTCTCTCTCTCAGAAATAAATAAATAAATAAATAGCTTTAAAAAAAAAAGAAAGGCAACCGAAAAACCAGAACTTGGGGGATCCCAACTAGATTAGCCCAAGGCGGGGATCTCCTCAGCATGAACGCCCCAGCCGCGCCGCCCAAGTTCACGCTAGGTCAACGGCACGAACTTTGAAAGTTACCTCAGAGGCCGGCGGGCAAACGGCCCAAAATGGGCGCCACCCTCGAAACCTTTACCCTCAAACGAGAAAAGACCCCGAGAAACCGAAAAGGCCCCCCAAGGCGACCCGCCCCGGCGCTGGGAGCCGCGCCTCAGGGTCGGCCGCGATCAAAAGTGCTCCGGGAACGGCCGCCTTCCGAAAAAACGGCAAAAAGGGCAGGACGCCACACGCAAAGCCGAGGGTCCCCAGGGCCGAGGCTACCCCGTCTCCCCCCCCCCACCCCGCCCCGAGTTCGGGGACGGCAGTTTCTCCCACAGCTTCGGCCTCCCCACCCCGCTTCTTCCCCTCGCCCCGCCCCCTGCCCCCCCTTCCCTGTCCCCCTGCCCCCCCCCCCCCCCCCCCCGCCCCCCCACCCCGTTCCCACCTCGCGACGCGGTGCTTCGGGCCCCGGGAGGGAGTCCGGCTCTCCCAGTCAGACAGGGGAAGGGATTATCCCGCCCGCCGCCCCGGAACACCTCAAGTGACACTCTTGACAAGTCCCTGAAGCCAAAGGGACCCGGTCACCCGCGGGGCCCCGTTAACTGGACGGGGCCGGGCGCGGGGGCGGCAGCGGGGGCAGGAGGGGGAGGGGCGGCCCCGGCCCCGGCCCCCACCTCGAACAGAAGAGGGCACCTTCGGTTCCCAGAAGCGGGAAGCCGCCGCCGGCGTACCCCGGGGGAGCGCCTCGAGTGACCTCTGTCGGAGCAGCGGTCTGAGGGGGCCCCTGAGCGCCCTCTAGTGCGGCGCCGGGGCCCGGCGCGGTCCAGGGAGAAGGGAGAGGACCAGGGGAAGAGCCCAGGCGCATCTCTGGAAAGCCCGACTCTGTGGGGGCAGGTGGGGCGGCCCGGGCCTCCCGCGCCTCCCCTCCCCAATCTCCACCGAGGGTCCTTCGTGGCCCGGTCGGCGCGGTACCAGAGCTTCCCCCCCCACCCCACCCCCCACCCCCCTCGCCTAGGCCGGGGCGGCCGGCGGGGGCCCGAGAGACGCAGCGGGACGTGGCTGCCTGTCAGCGAGAGCCGCGGAGGGCATTTACCCGGAGCCTGAGGGGCCGCTGCGCCTCCGCTCGGGTCTCCGCTGAGGTAACGGGACCGCCGCCGCCGCCTCTTCCCGGCCGCCGCAGTCGCAACCGCCAACGCTCTCGATCGCTCTCCGCGACTGTGGCCCGCGAGGCCAGCTGTTGAATGGCCGCGTCCAAGCCGGCGACGCACGCGCGCGCCCAGATGCCAACGCCCCGTGCGCCCCCTCGCCCCGCTGCGGCCCAGGCGAGCTCGCCGCGGCTGCTTCCCGACTCCGGGATCTCGGCTCCCGGCAGCGGGCTCGCCCACCCGTCCGTCCGCCGGCTCCCTCCCACCGCTTGGTGGGCTCTCGCCTAGCCAATTGCCGGCCCTCGCCGGCTCCGCCCCCTGGCTGCGATCCCTCAACTCGCCCTCTGGACCAATGGCAACGATGGGCTAGTCCCGCCCCTTCGAATCCCCCGGGGCCAATCGCCTTCTCCTGAGGACCCGTTCAAGTTAACCCCGCCCCTCTCGTGCGGCGGAGCTGCAGCCAAAGTTGATCCCACTGCGCGGTTGCTCCTGACGATTGAGAGGCTTCGCCCGGGCTCCCCCCACCCCCAACCCCCCCCCCCTCCGCGCCAAGTTCAGTGATTTCAAGGCTGCAGCTCACCCGGTCTGCCGACCCCCACGCGACCTATTCTGAATAAGCGAATACTTAAAAAGCTAATGAGAGAGGTACCGTTGTCCATCTCATCCCCGAGCAGGGCCGCTGCGAAATGTACACCCTCCTGGCCACAACTCACACATCACAGGGTCAGCAAGAACCTCGAAGGTCATCCGCTGACTCTGTCCCCGCATTGCTGTGTGTCTTGCTTGTGTTTTGTTGTTGTTGTTGTTTGTCTCACGTACAGGGGCTCTGCCCTCCAGGCTGGACAACTTCTGGTGACAAGCACTCACTGGCACTACGGACCGCCACTTGGGTCGCGTGAGACTGAGTGAAACCGGCCCCCTGGTAACTTCTACCCCCTTGAAACCACACAAAGGCAGCTTGGCCCCTCTTCCCACGGGGGTCCAACAATTTGAAGGCAAATCTGGCCCCACAGTTCTTCCAGGTTCTGTTACAAAGAACGGAGTTCAAGTCTCTCCTTCGAGTTTACGCCAATTCCTTTATAGCTTTCCCAAGTGGAAGGTGGGAAATGAGTCTCTCTCCCCCCCCAACCCCCAACCCCAGGGCACAGACCCTTCTGTACAGAGCAGACCAGGACAGTCACATCCCTTGTCTAGACACTAGATTTTTCTACTCAGAGCTCCCTAAGATGGCATTTGCTTTCTTGACGGCTATATCTCACAGCCAACGAATATTAGATTTACTGTCAACTAACCCCTGGGCTATTTCTCACTGCTGCTGCTATCACAGGGCTCTGTTTTCTACTTGATTAGCTGGTAAATGTCATTGGGTTTTGCTGGGGGTGGGAGGGGAGTGCTAATTTCACTCTTTTCTCTCAGGACCTCTTCACTGGCTCATTCGGTACTTAACATCTCTCCATCTGTCTTGCTACCAACGCCAAGCTCAGGCCCTCATCCTGTGTGCACAACTGCCTCCCCACAGGACACCTTACCTCTAGGCTTGTCCCCTCCCGGTGGCCTCCCAATGCTCCTCTCCTCATCCATTTGACACCAGAAGCCACAGTCGTCTCTAAAACACGAAGATAATCCTGTTACCCCACCTGACCTAAAAGCCCACCCCAGCTTCAGATCCTTTCCTACTCCTTCTCCAACCCCCCCCCCCCCCGCCTTCAATTCCAGGATAAGATCCCAAACCCCCGAATAACATGTGAAACCCTCCGTGATCTGGCCTCACCTGCCCAGCGTCTGTTTCACCTGCACCACAGAGCACTTTATACTTCAGATCCCCTGAACTTCCTTCTGTTTCTCAAATGAGCCATGGTCTCCGACACTTCTATGCCTCTGATACAAAGTCTGGAATAACCTGTCCCCTACCCTCCTAATCCTGACCTACAACACATTGATGTATTTTATTCATTCATTGAACACATATCCTGAGCACCTACGTGTGTCAAGTATGGGGGAGGGGGTATAACAACGTGATTTCTAAATATTTGATTCGATCCCTTCATCAGGTGCTTCCAGTATAAATGATTCTACTTCCATTCACATTGCCACATAGACATCAGGCAGCTATTTGTAATGATTGGACTCCAGATTCATCCAGGCAACTGAGACTGGGATTTTCTTCCTTGTGGAGTACCAGCGAATAATATTCAAACTCAGTCCATTAAGGTTGGCATTTCCAAGGCCGGAGGTTACGGCCCTTTTCTTTCATTTCCTTCACCTTAACTTAGAAAAAACAACAACAACAACGTAAGATTAAAATATTCTGTATTTGAGAGAGTATGTGCTTATTGTGTATGTTGAATTCTTTTTGTCTTTTATTTTTCTTTTTTAAGATCAGGATAAATCAGAGGAGCCTTGGTGGCTCAGTCAGTTGAGCGTCGAACTCTTGATTAAAGTTCAGGTCATGAGCTCACAGTTCGTGGGCTCAAGCCCAGAGTCAGGCTCTGCCTGACAGAGAGGAGCCTGCTTGGGATTCTCTCTCTGCCCCTTCCCCATATGTGTGCACACACACTCTCTTTCTCTCAAAATATACAAACATTTTTTTAAAAGACCAGGGGGGCTCCTGGGTGGCTCAGTCGGTTGAGTGTCCGACTCTTGGTTTTGACTCAGGTCAAGATCTCTCAGTTTTGTGAGTCTGAGCCCCATGTCGGGCTCTGTACTGACATCGTGGAGCCCGCTTGGGGTTCTCTCTCTCCCTCTCTCTCTGCCCGTACCCCACCCGCACTGCCTCTGTCTCTCTCAAAATAAATAAATAAAAACTTTTAAAAAAAATAAAAATAAAAAACATCAGAATAAATCAATCCAACACATTGTACACTTTAAAGTTACACAATGTTATATGTCAATTATATCTCAAAAACTTAGATGAACAATTAGATCCAGATAGCAATTTGTAACATACCATAGGCATGGATGTTTCTGGATCTGAAGAGAAAGGACATGAACAGGACTGACTGTATGTTATCAAAATGAAGCCATTGGAATCATGTAATTACAGAACTTCAGTGTTAGAAGGCACTTTTAAGTTAATTTAATCAGATTTCACCCTAGATGCTAGAAACTACTATGTGGGCAGTTTTTCAGGTTCTTTACAAAGTCCTCAGCTCCTTGGCCTCTGAAAGCAGGCTGTGTTCTTACTGTTCAAATATTGGCTCTGCACGACTAAGGGATTTGAGGGGCACCCAGAATGCTTCTCTGTCCATTTTTTTCCCCCTCTAGGATTAGACGTGTCCTCAGGATCTCCTCTTTCAAAATGCAAATAAAACCTGGGCACCTGGGTGGCTCAGCCGGTTGAAAGTCCAGCTGTTGATTTCGGCCTGCGTCCTGATCCCAGGGTGGTGGGATCGAACCCCACACTCGGCATGGAGCCTGCTTAAGACCCTATTTCTCCCTCTCTCTCTCTCTCTCTCTCTCTCTCTGCCCCTCTCCCCTGCTCCCACACATGCGCTTTCTCTCAAAAAATTTAAAAAAAAAATTTCAAAATGCAAATCCCACTTGGAAGAGCCACATGCCAGTATGTGTTAGTGATTAACATTTAGCATAAGGAAGACAGCATAGCTCAATAGAAAAAAAACTTTTTAAGGTGCCTATCCCAATTTGCAGTTTTCAGAGTGGTTTCACTTACTTTATCATATTTGATCCTCAGAGTGACCTGAGTTAATACCTCGTTTTCCATTCTACAGGGGAGGAAGCGAAGACTCATCTACTCATCTACGTTAAATCATTCCTCGAGGTATTCAAATTTCAGCTCTGCTGTTAACCTTGGGCAAGTGACCGACCCGGCACCCTAGGTCTCAGTTTCCCCATCACTAAAATCAAGTGAGATGCTTTGCAAGGTTTCTTTCAGCTCGGTCTGTCATCTCCCCCATCCTGCTGGCTGCGATCAGGACACTGGGGCCCTGGGCATTTTCATGGTGGCAGGAAATAATTTTGGACCAGAGGTACCTTTTGGAAAGGACACGCATGTTCCAGCGTGAGAGCAGTGAACGCTAGAAGGAGGAAAACCCGAGAAAGGACAGACCAGAAGCCCAGAACTCCAAACTTAACCTATGCCTCAGGTCCATGATGCCGTCACTTCCATTCGAATTTTGAATTAAAAATTCCAACCCATCTGCCCTTAATGATTAAAGAACCGTCTATGCAAACCTTAATTAAAGTCTGCTTGGGAGGGGAAGGGGGAAAAAAAAGTTAGAGAGGGAGGGAGGCAAACCATAAGAGACTCTTAAAAACTGAGAACAATCCGAGGGTTGATGGGGGGTGGGAGGGTGGGGAGGGTGGGTGCTGGGCATCGAGGAGGGCACCTGTTGGGAGGAGCACTGGGTTTTGTAGGGAAACCAAGGTGACAATAAATTTCATATTTAAAAAAAAAAAGTCTGCTTGGGCAAACTGTGTGATACTCAGATAAAAATTACCACAATACATTCCATAAGCCTGTTGTGCGCCCCCCTACGTACTCCATATAACAAAAGGGCGGATAAGAAGCCACAGCCTAAAGGGAGCCTTTTGGAAGGAAAGCCAACAGGCAAAGGGATGCACTCTAATAATTTATGCAAGTCGCGGATGCCACACTGCCCCTCCCCCCCATTCATCGGCTGACAGCACCGAGATGCAGCTGATCTAATGACCCCGTATTTGCTTAATCTCACTAAGCAAAGACAGGCTTTATGCCTAATATAAAAGGAATTTAAGATGCCAGGTGAGAAGCGGTGATCTTCAAACTGGTTGCGTAAGAAACCGAAAGCTAATTCCTGAGGTCATAAGCCTCCTTAATAGTCTGCTCTTTTTGGAGTGTTTAAAAACATGTTTAATTACAGTAGAATCCGTTTTCCATTACAGCCACCTAATCATTTTTTTCAGTAAATGGCTCAAAAGTGAAAAGAAGTACCACACTAACCTACCTCACTGAGTTCTTACAAGGATTTGTTCATTGGTTTTAAAGGGTTTCGGAAGGCTTTAAAAAAATTTTTTTTAAATGTTTGTTTATTTTTAAGAGAGAGAAAGAGAGCCTGAGCAGCGGAAGGGCAGCGAGAGAGGGAGACACAGAAGCCGAAGCAGGCTCCAGGCTCTACGCTGTCAGCACAGAGCCCGGCGTGAGGCTCGAACCCACAAACCATGAGATCATGACCTGAGCCGAAGTGGAAGTCGGACGCT